AGTTTAAAATGTTATAACCTATAAGAAAAAATATATCGATTTAAATAATTTGCAACTCATTAGACCTGTTGCGAGACTGTAAGTGTTATGGAAGATTATGATGGATGAGCATGTCATTTAGACAGAACAGGAGAAATAAGAAATGCATGCAGAATGTTCGTTGAGAAAGCTATTGGAAAGACACTACTTGGAAGACAGAGATGTAGATGAAAGTGTAGTATTAAGGAATGTCTTATGTAGGTAGGATGTATGGATGTAATTGGCTTAAACATGCACAACTTGCAGGTTCTGCTCGTGCAGAGCTCCCTAATTACGTATGTGTAAAATATTCACATGGATGCAACAGAAGCTAACATAGCAGTGCAAAAGGGCGTATAGTAACTATAATGGTCAGGAAAATTAAACACAGATCTACATTTAACTGTTGCTAAACTCACACAAACCTATTATATGAATATGAGAAATACAATTCTATTATATCAATAACTGCGTCATAAGAGATGTAAATGTAGCGCTCTAATATATTGGGTGTTTGTAATGTATCATCACGTGTTGCAGTGACTAAGATATAGGTCTGGATTGGTAATTGGATTTATTGGATACATATAGGTCGTAACTACAATTAATTCTTACACTATTGCTGCTTTATACAATTTACAATCATTCCAAACTAATCTTTTCAGTCTATCTGCAGTAGTTTTCACGGGTTTATAACACAGAAACTGTAATAGTCTCACTGAATCACACACTCCAAATATTACACACAAATAAAATCTTCTAATCACACGCTAATTCTTTACAGACTGACTTATAGTTCTTCTATGACTACGAACTTCCCGTGACTATTTGTTTGCTTGCTTGTACGCGTGCTTCTGCCGTTATTATTTGTAACATGTAACTGCTTTACTTACATAGCCAAGGAACCTACAGTAAACACATGTCACGTGATCGCTATCCAACCAGTCTATCGGCGCGTCGGTCGAATATACAGAAAACACATGTCACGTGATCACCATTCACTGTTATGACGTCACCGGGGACATGGAAAACACAGCTTTCTCTACTGTTTCGTGACCTAGCAACGGACCGTTTACCAAGAATCTGTCTTCGCGAAAACTTTTTTAACAACACGTTGCCTAGCAATCGGTATATATGTAACAGTATCAATACACCAGACCGAAGTGTGCTGACGAAACTAATTCAATAAATGATATTTCATATGAAATACATTTAAGAAATTACAGCAGAACAAATATACTATATACCAATAAGGTATACTGTCGCCGTGAAAAACAGATTTTCCTTTATTTAAGCATTGAATAAACTCGATGCCATTTGTTTCTAAAATTTCAATTCAGTTCTATTTGGTTATTGTAATCTTCAAGAGCGGTGTCAAGCTGAATTGACGTTGTTATCATCCGTAAGCAGAACCATACCTAGAATGGGAAAAATTCGTTGTCCATATTTCCTACACGGACAGAAAATGTAATAAGCCGAGAATATGTAAGCATATATATATATATATATATGAGAATTTGGTATCGGTATGATCTCTATTGATCTACTATGGATACTTCGTTGCCTTCCACCGTCGTTTTTTTTTTTACTTCCATGGCCTCTCGTTGAAATCAACAGGCTATGTAGGGGCAGATAAGGGCCATGTGTGTACAGAAGCCCGCACTAGAGAGCAGGGTATAAACTGTTCCAACAGAATCAATCACAAAGCGGATAAATCTGCAGTAGGAACTAAATATACGAACATTCGTACTTGCTCTCTGGCGTGGCATATTCGATTGATTCCTGAATATGGCGTGGGATGTGGGCAAAAAAGTTAAATCTTTTAACTCCCCGTACAATTCGGAACTCTAGTGAAATTACTAATTACGAGAATGAATAGAGATTTCGGCCGTACCATCAGTTAAGCTAGCAAAACACTATTAGTTTAAAGAGATGGGGTAACTAGGAGGTCAAAGAGTTTAACTCGGTGAGTAATTTAGTTGGAAACTGTAACATGCTTTGTTGCTAAGTGTTACTAACAAAGACTTTTGAGAGAGTCCAGTTCACTTCACTGGAGCGTATATAAATATAAAAGACAAACGAATGGTAGTTTGGGTAAACAGAACGGAGCTGTTTTTTTTTCTGCGCACATCTCTTCTGGAGTCTTTCCAAATGAAGTCGCTCTGAACAGGATACTCATTTCAACAGATAATGGATTTCATTTACTATATATCGTTACATCGAGGACGTAAAGTGAAAGCATAATGGGGATTCAAACCCGTTCACATATCTACATGTTTCATACTCGATACTACAAAATTGATTGTGACGAAATGTGGTGTTATCGATATTAACGTTGTCAGGAGTACTTACTCGAATCAGATATGGCTCATTTGTATGTAACTCCAAATTCAATTAAGATCAAATATAGGATTTTACTCCAAACACGACCCATGGTGCAGATAATTATTACAGAAAGTCTGTATTGTAATTAGGATGTACAACTGTCTTTTGAATATTTCTGCCTTTGCTAAAATCTTCTCAGGTGATCGGAGATGTCAATAGTGAATTAAAACCCATCGTTTCGGAAACCTCTGAAACGCTTATTTTCAATTAAACACTGACACGGTTGATAGCCCTAGAAGATTTCAGCATGTTTACTCTCCGAGAAAGTTTTAAATCTTACATTTCATACGTTGTTTATATTTAACAAAATATAATTAAACACAATATATTGCTCTATATACAATACTCTCTTTGGTGTAACTGACTTTGGCAAGAATGTAACTGCGTATGTAACATTAACATTAAAGGTTCTCACAGCGATTGTTGTGAAGGGTTCTGTCTTCTGATATATAACGTTGGGTAGTCCGTTGAAAGTTAACCGACGTTTCGAAGGAACGTGTAGCCTCCATTTTCAGGTTCCAAGAACAAGCAAAAGAAAAAGCCAATGTGAAATTAGGTGACATGCTGTTTTCTTGCTCGGCTTATTCTTCTACCCTGAAGATGGGGGACCAACTGTTCATCCGAAAAGCCGGTTGACTTTCAACGGACTACACGGCGTTATATCCCAGAAGGTAGAAAGTTTCATCCATAAGAGATGTTTATCAATAACAAAAAGTTTTTGGAACAGCAGAGAAATCGCTTCGAAAAATATGCGTGGGCTTGCTTCAGGTTTACCAATCTTCCTTGCTCTTCAGAATATTCTGTCTTTTTCAGGTTGCCTCTAAAATTATCTGTTTACAGAAAACTCAATAGTTAGGTGTTCAACTGTTGTTAAACAAGCAAATACAACATACATTTTCTCTATGGCTCAATCCAAAACAGACGATCAATTTACAGTGAAACCATTAAACATTAAAGTCATTAAAACATTAAAATTGAAGACAAGTAACTTAATCCACGTTCTTTCTTATTCAGATCTACAGAAAATCTGAGTACATTGACAGTATCGCTTCGTTCCTGTCTGGAAATTATCATGATTAAATATTTTTTTATTTATTACGCGTACATAGTAAATATTATGTTACACGTTTAAAAGGAATTCAAAAGTAAGGGGCACGAGGACGTAAAGAAGTACAGTATTTAAGTACACTAGGAATAAATTAACAGCAACAATCATATATCAGGACAGTGCTGAGTTATTACCCCGCTTATGTCATGACCGCTTTCTCCAAAACATTTGCTTGCATCATTAACCAATCAACATAACATTCTACACTCTGCAATACACGTATACGTATATACTGGTAGTAGTGTCATAACAGAACGATCAGGAAAGTGTAAAGACTTCTTTGTTTAAGAGGTAAGGGTATTGAAGGAGGTTTCATTTGCTAAAGATACTAACCCGGAATTCTTCTCGAAATATTCGAAAAATCTATTAAAACCCTCACTTACATCAACACCCGTTCTTGTTTCTGTCGAAGTTTGTACTGTAGTGAGCGCTAATTTTATAAAACTTCACGGGCATTCTTATATTGCCTGCTTCAAAATAAGTATCAAACCTGGATGAAATCCGAGGTACGTTATGACTGATGTGGTATAGACACCTACTCGCAATTCTTTCCTTTACGGAGGCATAAAGTATGAAAGTGGCTGTAGGAGAATTGCGAAAGTTTAGCTGTCTCATGATGGAAGACTTCAAAATGACTTCTGGATAAATGAGGTGAAAAAAGAAAATTAACTGGGATCTTAATGGAAAGAAAAATAAAAGAGCCACTAACTTAATGAGGAATTAGTATGTCAGATATTGATCTGTCCTTTCAGTACTAAGCTACGATGCTTGAAATCCAGTAGCCTACAAGTATAACACTCACGCATTCTCATCCGCCTTTATGTCTATAGATAGTCAGTGTCGTATAAAATTAGATGTCATGATTATTATGAATGATGAGTCGGTAACGTGTTGAAAGGAGACAACCTGGCCTATATGAAGTTTGTCTCCTTCCTTTATCTTGGAGAGACTGAGAAAAACGGCGAAACCTGCGATTAACAAGATGGTCGTTAACCCCGTTGTGATTCAAACCACGTAATTCCGAACGCTAGGGACAAAAACGTTACAGCCTTGCGTTTTTGCTCAGTGTTCTACATTTTACTCTTAATTATCGTTCACACACAAAAAAAAATCACTTGCATAAATTATGGAAGTCATACCTCCATATGAGATACAGCCGATAGTGGGCAAATTTTAAGACAATCGCGGAAATGAAGAAAACCCTTGCTGAACCTGTGACTTCCTCTAGGAAGATTTTATGTAAGAAATATATTTTCTCATAGTTACGTGCATTTACGTTGTATTCGTATTTTATTTGCACGTAAAAATGGATATTTTTGTGTTACAACCCTCTACAGTGTACAAGTCTGGTTTCATTATCATCTGATATTCCTTCCTGACACTCGTCTGCAGATGACCGCGAATGATAAGGTATAAGCATGTTCGTGTGGGCAATGACAACTCGAGGTTTCGATAAACACAGTAATGTGACGCTCTGCTCGCCTTACAGGTCGCGGTCGGCAATGGAAACAGCGCCTTTCGGAGAACCATCTAGACTACGAGGTGGAGGGATGGAGGGACTCAGGTAAACATATGTGGCCATTAGTAGGGAGAACGTAAGATGCAGGCTAGTCTCCCTCTCTGAGCGTTAGGTAGAACTCGGTTACTGATTTCAGTGTAACACTTCTAATGCTACTAGTTCATGACCCTAGCCCACATTGATGCTTTGTCATGCGTGGTGTGGATAATGTCCAAGACACTTCTGTGCTCCTGACGGTTACAGAAGAAAATAGGACATTCAGAGTATAATTTTATCAAAGGCGTATTATTCACGTTCCATCTATGGTTCTACACGCCTTTCATTGGACTTTGGCCGTTTTTTCAGTTTCTTAATCCCATACATAGTCGGTAGGACTCTTGGACGGGGGATTAACCCACTGTAAGGCCTCTACCTATATACAGAACGACACAAACACAAAATAAAACACACAAACATCCATGCCTTGAGTGGGATTCGAACCCATGATCTCAGTGTTGAAGCGGGCGAAGACAGTTCATGCTTTAGACTGTGCGACCGCGTTCAGAAGATATATTTTTTCTTACTTATCTGCATATTGAACGATAAGTCGAGAATACAGGTTCACTCTCTTCAGGAAGGGCTGGAAATTTCATAATATTCAATCTTTTTAAAGAAAACTCCGTTTCAAAATTATTATTGTTTCTGAATAATCCATATTTATATTGTTGGAATACAGTCTATAGCCGATGGGTTTTTTCGAGTTAATACACTTTCATATTGTAATTCTTCCTACTGCAGGATGATGTATAGGCAAATTGAGAAAATTGGGTACACATGCCGACAGCATTTCTACAATCATACCCCTCACAGCAACAATAATTTAGAAGTTAATTCCTCAATGATATGGAGTTATTTACACAGCATGTTCTTTCAGGTATATCCACTGAAAATATCTGCATGTATTGAGATCACAAGATTAGGGATATCTGTTCCTGAAAGCCATGAAAAATGATTCGATAACAAAATGAATGTGTATGCAACCAGCAGATTATTAGCCGTGAACAGTCCAGATCTTTCTTACTGGGAAAATATCCGCAATTCCAGATGATTTTATCGGAGGGAAGGACGGAGAGACGGACTATGCCGTGGTGACAGGGACCCACCTAACATGGAGAATTCCATAGCAGGATTTAAATTTGATACGTTTTCCTATCTTCTCTTACGGATAACAAATCGGCCTATGGGATTATTATTCAGTGTGTAAGTTCATACATTTCATCTACTAAGATTGTTGACCGATTTTTACGAACTTTGGTGTGAATGTTATTTTACTGGAAGCCACTCCAACCTCGTATTTTTTTATTTCCTCAACACCTTAATAGGAAGGCGAAGAACGTGCGAAATTACGAGGTGACAACCAGAACTAGCGACTTTCAATCTAGTGTCTGAAGTTGCATAGACTTAGTAATATGTTTCGAAAATATGCTAATTTTATTCGGGTAATATTAAGTATCATACAAAATGAGAAAGTTATACCTGTATGAAATCTATAATGTTAGGTTTAATCATAATAATTAAGGAATTTTTGGAGCTAAGCATGTGAAAGTTTGTCTGGAGCTAGATAGTAAGTATGTAAGCCTGTTACGTATGTTATATTGTTCATCGGCAAGAAATGCAAATAAACCAATGGTATGGAATCTTAAAGCTAAAGTTAAACTCATACAAAATCTGTGTTTACGCAAAAATTCTTCCCAAAAGTATAAGAACAGATTTAATAATGATAACAATAATAACAATATTGTGTAAGAGATTTGCATTTGGAAGGAATGTAAGGGTTATTCTATTAGGATTCGTTCATTTGAGAGTCCAAACACAAGTCCAGTACCCTATCCCATGAGTTTGAGTGTGTTTGAATATTTCAGCATAAACTTACACTAACTAATATATTTATTTATTTAATAATGATAACAATAATAATAATATTGTGTAAGAGATTTGCATTTGGAAGGAATGTAAGGGTTATTCTATTAGGATTCGTTCATTTGAGAGTCCAAACACAAGTCCAGTACCCTATCCCATGAGTTTGAGTGTGTTTGAATATTTCAGCATAAACTTACACTAACTAATATATTTACAACCAAATATTTGAAGAACTGAAATTCTGCAAGGGGCAGTACATTCTGTGTTTTCTTCCTTAAACTTGTTTGTATAATAGAACCTACAAGTGGTTATTTTGTATGGAATATTGAAAAGTAAAAGCAGTTAATTTATAATTCCATTTCTGTGTTGTGAGGTTGTGTTTCCCATAAAATCCTCTTGCTTGTACCTTTTTGTTCTGAAAAGAAAAATATGTAAGACGCGAAATCAGTTGTAACAATATTGTGACATACCGACTGAAATCCTGAACAGTTAAACCAGAAGACATCCATTTCTAGATTACGACACAATAAAGAGTGACGTAACAATGGAATATGAAATGCCTGTCAGCGTAACAACAGTTGTGCACGCAACAATAGAGGAATCCTGGGAATTGGTGTTTACTGGATCCGCGCCGATAATGACGTCATGCAAGAATATAAGAACTATTGGAAGCGCTGTTTTCTGCTGGGTCAGCGTAGAAGTTATGTCTGGAGAATCGAAACACAGCTGAGTCTCGATTTAGAGAAGTCTAGTTAGTCATGAAACGGTGGAATTAAAAGAGTAGGAGGTTGGTGTGAGATGGCCGCCAGTCTGTAAAGACGTGAGCCCGGGTGCAGAGGAACGTCCAGTGTTGGACGACGTTACCCAGAAGCGCAGGAAATATCGTGACTGGGAACAGTGCTCTGAGTGTGATAGTGATTTGCGATGTGTCGTCACGAAAGTCTTGATCCGGCCTAGTTGAGTTGTGAGATAGGTGCCAGCCAGCGAGGACCGGAGCTGTGGAACACGGAAGATCAGGAAGAGTTGGAAGTCGGTACCAGACAACCTGTGAAGGCACAGCAGACTTGAGAAGGCAATGCGTGCTGTAGTGTCAATTGTGTTAATTAGTAAAACTGTGATAACTGCTTAGTCTCAAGAGTACACTAAATCCGTTTACCAATCCAAACCCAGTCTATATTCATTCAACCACGTGACAATATGTACACGTACAATTGTTGAGTGGCTGAAATTATCACAGAAAAGAGGTTTTCTATGAAACTGTGGCAAATGAAATGCAGCGAAATTGTGAACCATAGTGAAGAATTTTGTTCTGGAAAAATAATAATTCAAGCGATATCCTGTACCTCCATATGAATATCGATTATTGAGTTCCGTTGTTATTGAGAGATGTTGAATGCTAGTTGGGGCAGTCTGTGCGAACAGATGTGTTTGTAAATGTTTGTTATAATACCCATAAGGCATGGCAAAGATTACTACTTTAATTAATTCATTCCGTTCATGCTATAATATGTCCCAATATTATTAGTTTGGAAAGAATAAAGTAGGCCACTTTCTGACAAGCACTGCCAATATTGAGAATTTCATATTCAGTGACACATGATCGACTGTAGATTACTATGAATATCCTCATTAAACGTACTGAATAGTCATATATTTAAAGGAGAACTCTTAAAAGGTGAAGTAGAGTTGAATGCCTGTACATTTTTATTTTATTAATACAGAAATGTATCTGTGAATACACAGTCTTACCCTGCACCTTTAACTCTTTAAGCATTTGTACGTTTTTGCGATAGAAGTGTAGCTGTCTGACTTAACCCTCTTAGTTTTCAGGTTTCTCACGCAATACTTAATAAGGCAGAAAGATCTGTAACACTAGACAAGGGCCCTTACAGTGTGCTACCAGCCGGAGCCAGCTAAACCCTGGTTCTCTTTATATCCTCCCCGTTATCCTTCCTTAATCGGCCTTGGGACCGACTATAGCAAAGCTACATAATCTTGTAATTACAGTCAGCAGCTAATCTCATTTCCATAATCGTTCTTATATGTGAAACTATTCACTTGACATATGTGGCAGCCCGTTCCAGAAAGTGAACGAAATATATGTAACAGGGCCGGTTAGAAATCCCAGAAGGATAGAAGAAATTTAATTTATCTTGACTTGTGGTCGCATTGATGTTACCCTGGAAGATTTAACTAGAAAATATCCTAATCAATGCTAAACAGGAAAGTGTACTCAATTGGCACTCGTCAAGAGTTCCTTAGGAGAGATGTCACATTCTTACCTACCACAACCAGATCAAAACAGTTATTTATACGAAGCAAGAGCAGCGGTTTATTTCTTAGTTATATTACGTCACTGTGGTTTATAGACTTCTTGCTAAGAGGTGACTCTGTAAATATCAGCCGTTGCTAGGTAATGCCCGCACGCAAAAATGGAGGAGGTGTCACGATACGTGGCGCGTAAAGCCGTTGTTATGGAGCGCCCGCAGTATACATGTGCGCGGTGACGTAACACAATAGACGAGGTAATGCAGGCAGACATTTTCTTTATGTCCGCTTAGAGATTATATACGTAGTACAGAACAGAATCAAATGAGAATGAGAATGGAGAGCGAGTGACTTCAGTTCATTTGAGAGTTCAGCTGTGGAGTGTTAACCAGCGGATAACAGAAACTAAGATTCTTCACGAGGAAACGTCTAGTGAAGACATGGCAGAGGGACAGTCATTGTGGAGTTGTAAAAAGTAGTGAAAGTAGACTGAGAAGACTTAGGGTAGCGTGATTTGTAGAGTGAAAATCAGCAATACTGTAATAATTATTTTGCATAATTACGACATGTAAGTGGTTGAGATAACTCACTCAAAACGAAGACAGAACACACACACATACCCAGGAGGCCCAACAGTATAACACNAGTATATTTTTATGTAATGACGCTGCCAGTAACTCAGACTCTATACAGCGGCGTGTATATAACACAGAAATTAAAAAATACTATAAAAATTACGATCATTCGACTACTGCTGGAGAAGTTATTTAACACAATTTCCCCTTCAAAGCGATAGGTTCATATTCAGCAGTATCTTGCATTCCTTTACCTATGTTTGAGGTCGTCCAAATTAAATTCGAATTCAGAATCCACTATGAAAATATATTTTCCTAACTTTCAATGTTTTGCATTTTCTTAGCAAACTTTAAGCCGCGCTGTTATTTCTTGCTCAGTGAACAGTATCAGTGTTTTCAGAAATATAATTAAAAGTATGTTTTAGCACTAGGAACTAAATTACTTTTCAGTATAAGCCTGTATCAATCAAAATTTAAATCGGTAAGAACATTCAGTCGGAGAGTTTCATGGAGGTAGGCCTAGGCGGCCCAAACGAGGGCTGTAGCGCCAATGAAAAAAAAAAAGAACATTCAGTAATAAAGACTATTATTATGTTTCGTCATGAAGGCGTTCAACGGTGCCCAGTGGAGGACTCAAGACGGACTATAGGTGTTCTAATTTCTGGGATAAAACGCCATATAATCAGGTAGAAACTAATCGGTGTTCAATATGTAAGAAGCAAAAAGTGGGCTCCAACATTAAAAAGCAAGCAACAAGCAGCGTTTTCTATTTGCTTGTCGTGTAATTGGCTCTTACCCTTCGATCCGAAAGATAAGGCAGAACTTTCCTCTGCAACACCGGTAATTTCTACAATACGATACGGCGTCACACATAAGAAGATAATACTCTTAACAGTCGCTGTTGCGAGAAAGCTAAACCAAACAATAACATGACCAAATTGTGGTAGATTATTTTTATGATTTTGGATTATCTGAGAACAGACCAATTCCATTAGAACGTATTCTGATTATGCAAAACATATCTAAAAATTCGACGAGAAGGCAATGTAATTCGGCAACAATATCCTAGTTCTCGATCGCCTGAACAGTTTCTTCCTAATAAGGCCTTAGAATATTAAATACGGAAAGTAGGAAAGTAATTCAGCAGTACAAGTTATCTTTCCGCAACACCTGAAGCTTCGAGAATGGAATAATTTAATATGCTGAAATATCATGTGTTCAGAGGTAATTAGTGATGCTTACTAAGTAATATGAAATGAGTACCAGTACAATGCAGAGGGGAATATATTTCACAATGAGCGAGTTTCATGAGTGTTTACTCTTGCAACATGTATGTCAGGAAGGTCCAGAGTACAAGTCCTACAAAGAGACTATAGACAATATTCACTGTTCGCCTTACTGGACGTGAATATTTAGAGTGTTACGTAGAACAGCAATTCAAGTGAAGAAAGCAGTCTTCTGGGATATGGCACAGTGTAGATGTGGTGTTAACCGACGTTTCGGAGGAACGTATCGCCTTCATCTTCAGGGTAGAAGGAAAAATAAGAAATCCGCAAGCGAAGAGACGGTGAGAACCGGTACAAGCAGACTGCTTCTTTTGATGACATTCACTAAGAAGCAGAGGGATCTCGATATAAAGTATTTTGACATGACCGCTGAAAGCCGGAACAGTTTAACCAGAAACGACGTCCATTACTAGGCTACGGGAAAGTAAACACCACGTCAGAGTAACAAAAATTACGGACGCAAAAATAGATGAACCGTTGGAAGCAGTGTTCTGTTATCGTAGAAAACAGAAACCTACGAACTTTACGTCACAAAATTTTGCAGGCAACACGTAGAAATTACACAAAATCATGAGAATGGAAACGTTCGCAACAAAGGACAAGACGAAGCTAGATATACAAAATACAAGGGACTGATCTGGGAGGCGGTCAAGTTTACGACCGTTCAACTGAGTAATTTGCCGTTGTAGCATAAGGTAAGCAAGATAAGCATATCTGCTTTGCAAAGCCTGAACTCACAGAAGACTTGTACGCTTATAGTGCATAAGGAAGTAATTAATGTAACATGCTATATTTGCGATGGGTACACTTGACAAAGTCCAAGCCATTTCATAAAAGCCAAACCCATCCTCTATGATATCAAAGCGTCCAATTTGCAATAAAATATCTATGGTCGTGAACCTCGAGGTGTTTGGCGCCAAGACGACTGATGTTACAGAATCCTGCTGCATTGATATACCACTCTTTCATTTGTATCCGTCTATACTGCAACACAACCTTTTATTTTAATACTGTATACAATCACATTTATAATTCATAAAATGTCATTATAAGCATTTTTATTTAATTCTTTCAACATGTTTCGGCCCTACAAGGTCATTCTCAGATAACTGTTAATTGATTGAAATCGCCGACCGACTGAGACATGAAAAGAACTCAGCGTGGACGTCGCAATATAAAAATAGTGTGAGTGAAGTGTGGACGTGCATTCTCAAATAACGACGTGCAAAAATAGCACGTAAATATATAGACATATGAATTGATGCCTGAGGATGGCCTTGTAGGAATGAAACATGAGAGTATTGCAACAATTAAATAAAAAAAATATGATTTTAATGACATTTTATGAATTTTAAATGTGATTGTAAATGACATATTAAAATAAACGGTCGTGTTTCATTATGGATGAAAGCAAGTGCACAAGTAACACCATTCGTAAACTAACTCTGACTCTGACTCTTACTCTGACGAAGAGTCACTCGAATAGAGAGCGGTTAGCAGTCTGCTGACGAGACGGAAGTGAGCACTAGCCACCTTTATCCAGTGGAGACCAGACTTATAAGAGTTAAGGGCCAGAAGCTGCGGCCATGAAGAGTTGAGTCGTTAAGACAGCTTCCGGCAAATAACGGCGTGGACCACGGAAGTTGAGGAATCTACGGCGTTGGGAGCCGTTACAAAGTGGCAATCGGTGCCGATACAGCAGCCTGAGAATGTTTAGTGCTTGCTGTAATGAACTGTATGGTGTTTGATTTAGCGACAGTGCTATCATTATCTGTAGTTACGAGTTTAGAGTTCAATCAATCGAAACCTCACCTTTACTCACTACGAGTAAGTGCGTTACAGTATGTATACTGCATGATTCTGAAGGTTTAATATATTTCTTTTTGTTTATCGACTCCAATTTCTTGAAATTTTATGGGTATTATTTCATTCATGTGATCCGCAGAGCGCAAAGTCCGCAGCTGATCATATGTTACACTCGTAACATTATTAGTACATCGAAAGATAAATGGTCTATAATCTTAATCTACCTATGGGATTAAAGTGACATTCAGTCTTTAATAATCGCTTGGCTTTTCAATACATTTCACCATTTAGAAATTTTTATTCCCACTTATGTCGTAGAGGATTTACATCGATTTAAAGTAACATACGGGTAATCTCTGCACTTAGTGAATAAAATACAGGGTCTCACTTTAAGCGGTAAAATTATATCAGAAAAAAAGTGTTTTCATATAAGTAGGATTTAGGGATTGTGTGGAAAATAATCACATGAAAATATTCACAAATAACAGACTGTATAATATAGGCTATGCTTTTCAACGGTTCATGCTCGCATATTAGGGGATTATCTGACTATTAAACATCACATGTTTCTATCACAGACTACGTAATATGAAATAATTATTAATAAATCCTTTGAAAATTTTGGATCAAGTATTTAAAAACATCAATAAAGGTAGCTATAATATGAAGCTGCAAAAAGAATAAATTCCTGTTCCTTTTCATTTAAAAATCTGTTGTCTTCAATTCCTCTTTATGCACATATGCACTGAACGTCAATATACAGCTCTTTAAAAATTAATGCTACCCGTTGTTGTGTATGGTTGAGAAATCCGGCTTCTCACTCGAAGGGAGTCAGAGTACTGAATACAACTGACAATCGAGGCGGGAAGTCAACATATTTGGTGTAAGCAAATAAGATTAAAAAATAAATTGGAAATGGACCTCAGTCTGTACTCTTAATTTAGTGTTGTAATTGGATTGCTTGAAGTGTCCAGACATGCAAGGACAACTTTATTTTTAGTGATATCAAGTACCGAGAATATACAGGAAGAATAGATCTGAAAGCATGTCTCGTTATCGTGCTAAGTGTTAATGCGTTCATATAGCAAGGACTCATAATTATCGTGAGATGTTCTGCGAGACACACTTATATTGACGAATCGCTATTTTTGCGTAAAGAAAACAACATTTTCGGAATCTTTAGTTTAATATGAGCCACGTATAAAGTAGCAGAGCTGTAGTGACATAAACCTTTTCGTGTCTAGTAAAAACATTTTTTTCCCCCTCTGGCGCTACAGCCCTCATTTGGGCCTAAGCCTACCTCCATGAAACTCTCCGTTTCAGTTTGATTTACTAGATCTTACACATTCGGTAGGACTCCTTGGGCGGGTGATCAGCTCGTCGCAAGACCTCTACCTGTACACAAACACAGAAAAACGAACACAAAACATCAATACCCTGAGTGAGATTCGAACCCACGCTCCCGGCTTCCGAGCGAGCGAAGACAGTACATGCTTTAGACCGGCTCGGCTACCGTGACCGGCAGTAAAATCAATTAACCCTGGTAAATAGGATAGATATAATCTCTGAATAATTAGTTCCACATTTCTGTACATTTCAGAATACGATGACGACTATACGCTCCCGTCTCTTGGACCGCCACCAGGCAAATACCCTCCAGGGGCGCGCAGTGCAGCTACCACACGTCCGCCAACTGCTTCTCCCGGAAGTGGCACTTGGTTCTTCACTTGGCTCATGTGTTGGGTTATATTGTGCGGTGGTTACAGCTGATCTTACTAAGAGAACGGAGTCTGTGTAGCGCGCCACGATGGAGCGATTCTGTGTTCCGTGACATGGCTCATGTGTTTGATTGTACTGTGCAGTGGCTACAGATGATCCCTCTAAGCGAATCCCATTCTGTACTGTGCGCTGTGGCTGAGTGACAGGACATTTTCTGTGTTGGCCCCTGACAAAGTATTTGTAGAGGAAAGATAAACGACTGCAAGATCTGAGTCAAGAAATGAAATCAGAAGACAGTGAAGTCCTACTGGTGAATGTGCATCTGTTCTTTTAAAACTACTGACTATTTCTGTGATGATTATATTCTGATACACATGGGTAACGAAACTCATAACTACATCGGACCAAATTACTGAAGCAAAAAGTGTTCAGCATTATTTCTGAAATACAATGGATATTATGAAAGGACAAACTTCTCTGCACGATAAGGTGTTCAACTGCCGTTCTCGAACAGCCACTTCCTGTCATGTGTCGATATGGTCATGAGTGTACACACACACAAGAGAAATTGGGTTGTTAATGTGATCAGACTCAAGCATATCTTTAAACAATGACGACAACGACTGAATTTAAAAGTATGAACGTATATACGTAGATGGTCAACATAAGGCGCCTTCATGTTGTTACAGAAGTTACTGAGGAAGTGTGTTATAAACAGAAGGAAAGACTTCAAGCTGTAGCTACCTAAAAAGAAATACGCAGAAAGGAATTAAAAAGTAGTTTTCGTATAGGATAGACAGTTATTGAGATGTACGGAAATATTATACACAGGAATTACCTGTGTGGTATTCAATGACCGTTGTGATCCTAAGAAATAATAGCTTAAAAGTGTGATACTCTGTCCTTTTCCCTTAATCAATCATGTAATTATAAAACGAAAACTAAGCAAGTTTATATACTATGATATTTTGACGCCTCCAAACTTCCATCATTCAATCAAGGTGAATGAAAATGTTAATATCTTAAAAATACAGGTGAAACGTTACGACAGCAGAAGTCTTCGTTGCTCGCCGGGTGCTAACAACAGGAAATCTCCAGGACAAAACGAATCTCTACCCAAGTTTTTCCACTGACTGGCGAGATAAAGGAAGGGCCTACGTCTCAGTGTGGCCAATCGGTCTTCCAATTTCATAAACTCGTTAATACATCTTACACCGCATTCATTCCTTAACTCAGGACAGGCTAAAAATACTTACTTGTCAGCAGCGAACGTGGGCAGCTGCTGGTTCCTGATACTTCAATATCCACACGGAGTATACATAAAATTATTGTCCTATGTCGGGATTAAAAGAAATTGAGACAGTATTCCTATTCACAACTTAGCCTGAACGCATAGATGACAATCATCAGAATGGACAAAATGTCTTATTCCTTTAAGGCTACATGTTACTATTCCTGCAGAATCGCCCGCATTATGTTCTTAAGAATCTATTCGTATAACAGGTTGTGCTACTGCATTACTCAAAAAGACTTAGGTTACACATGAATTTATTAAACATTAGAAACATTCTATTTGCATTGGAAAATATAATGTCAACAATTTAGTGTACTCAACTCACTGTTCATCATAATATTCAACGCTATATAACCTAAATGGAGCCGGGATAGCGTAGTCGGTATAGCGACTGGATATGGGGCTGGGTGACTGAGGGTCGGACTTCGAGTCCCGATAGTGTCAAAAAATTTGTCTTCTCCACGTCGTCCATACCGACTCTGGGGTCCACCCAAACTCCTATCCAACGGGTAACGGGGAATCTTTCCCCGGGGGTAAAGCGGCCGGGGACGTGAAGCTAACCACTCACCTCCAACTAATGCGAGGTCAAGAAAATGTGAATCTATACACCCATTCCCCCTTACAACTTCATGGCGAGTGTTTAACTAGTTAAACACAGGGAGCAATTCACATTCTGAATTTGAGTTCAATCCCAGAGAGGATTCAGAAAAATCGTAACACAAACTGAGTCATACTGCAGAGATCTGCTTTATGATATCTAACTCAAAAGCCATTTCAATTCAATATTAATATATTGCACTCTATTGTAACCGACTACTCCAATGTTGGGTGATTTTCCTTTTATGGTCTATATGAAACAGAGACCGATATATTTCATGCACAACAATGCATTACCAAGTCATCCAAATTCTCTGATATAATAAGTGTTGTTGACGTTGCTACATACGAGTAATATTAGCCGGAAACACTGAAGGATTTATCAAAATCAAAAAGGTTGTAATGCAACATAGAAATTTTGATGTTCTTAAACGACACCTATTTTGCGTATCATGAATAGTCCATAAGAAGTAATGTAATCGAATATGCTACAAACCTTATTCATCAATTTCAATGACTCCCAACGTTAATATAAAATCAAGCAGAGAGGAATAACAGGTACTACTTGTTCAGGAGGGAATATTTGCACATTTTCCATTTTTGATAAGCATTACGAGACTTTTGCTACGCATTTATCAAAGAAGTACAGGAACCTGAAAGGAATTACGTAACCTCGGAAAAGTAAACCGTGAGCAACAAGATGGCTGTGTAGCCTACGAGTATATGAAATTATGCTCTTCAATGTAGATATTATTAGACTATATTATAGGCCTATATTCGCATACTATCTGATCATTGTTGTCTTACATAGGACAAAATATATTTTTTGCAGCTGATGGATGCTTTGTGCAGCAGAACTGATATAATGTAGTGATCAAATATAGACAAATATATGTGTCGAATAAGGGTGTAATTTTCATATGTATAGGAAATTTAACATTATGTAACACGACCAAATGGGAAAACATGCACTTTAGGATTTTATTCCTAAAGTCATTAAAAGTTAATTGGCCAAAATACATAAATTTCCCAGCAGGCCGTGAAAGTATCCAACATAAATCTCATAGAGTTAGATAACATATATCATTATTATATAATATATATGATATTGAGTTCGTATCGTCCTGAATAAAGAACAAAGCTTATAGCTGGAATAATTTCCATGTTTCATTCAATAGAATATGACCCTAGACAATCCAAGAACCTCACGTACACCTCGATCAAGACGAGACAGTTCGTAATTCTTCCGCAAAGCAGCCTCAGCTCCGATCACAGAAGTACGAGTAATAACAACTGTCGGAGGCCAGACAGAGAATATACGAGTATTTCGCGCTCACGGGTTGAAATACTGCAATTAAACCCACAAAGGAGACGTTCTAATACTTACTGAATGCTACTATTGTGAGCAAGATCTACGAATATTTGACTTTCAAGTAACTGTTTTGGTAGGCAGATTTAAGAAGGAAGTACTTAATTTTACAATATACGTTTAAGTCTTCCACTACAACGAGACAACAGTAAATTGGTATAAGTGAACAGAAAGAGGAGTTGGAATTTGGGATAAAAGAGTTTCATAAGGAAATCCCTCCCCCAGAAATCAAGCAATCAGTAAATTTTTCAGAATTGTGTATATTTTCGCACACAAAACGTATGATGTTTAGCGAGGTTCCAGATTCGACGCAAAGTTTGTTTCCTAAAAATCCAAACACACGTGGGCAGTCTATATCGTCTTTAGAAATTTAATACTGAGACTTTCATGCGAAAGCGAATTATTCTGAAGCTTGGTTTGAAACTTTTCATAAAGTTATTTCACAGAAAGGCCAAATAGAACCCTGCAGTCAGTGGTTCCGATTGGAATTTGGAACAAATTAATGTCACATAAATACAACTAACCAAAAGTTATGATAAATGTTTCGAAATGAAATATCGAAACCCTTCTGCATCATTAATTGTAAAGCGTCTTAAAGATTAAAGCAGAAATTGAAATAAGTAGTTACTATAGGATTCTGACGATGGTGTATGACACATTGATATATTGGGTTTTTGGACTTTATCCATCGTCCTGGTTTTTAAGATAACAAATAAAAACACGACGTTTCGGAAACTGGATCTGTTTCCGTCCTCAGGTGAAGGAAAACACCTATTCAGTTGGGTCCGTTAGAAAGAGCTAGCCTCAATCACTGGACGATGGATAAAGTCCAAAAACCCAATATATCAAAGAAATTGAAATGTTGAGTAATTCAAAACGGGTTGATCACTTCTACAAATGGAAGCACACAGAGCAGAAACTGACTTTATGGCCTTTCACTGACAGTGTTACAATGAAGGGCGTGACAGATTACTACTTAAGCAGGTGTTTAGGGTACTGATTTCTTTGAGGACCCCAAACAAGGCGCTAGACGTACGAATCTCTGTTGTATTTACCCGTGATATTGACCGTTCCACATCTTCTCAAGATCCTACTGTGTCTGAAAACTTCAGTGATGTCCACTCCCCTTTTGATTATGAGGATAAAAACGATTTATTGAACACTTACATTTTCCGATATCCTACAGATAAAATAAACTACAATGCTCATCCAGATACATGGGGCTTAACCATCAGCACGACGCTGAAAAATAAAATCCAATACACACACAGCTACTAGCCACGAGCAAGAGTGTTGCGTATAGCCATGATGCAATGGATAAGTAATATAACTCTTTCATTTAAGTCAGGTCGAAGAACTTGAATGTCAGCTACTGAGATGTAGAAATTACTTATTCTTTTAATAGAATAGGTAGCTCAGTAAATATAGTGACTGGTTATGCATTTGAGAACAAGGACTGGATTCTCATTTTAAGCAGAGATTTTTCTTCTCCAACACATCCAGACTGGCTCTGAGGCCCATCTAAACTTCAATTCAGTAGGTAAGGGGGTCTCAAGAAAAAGCTACCGCGGCACAAAGGTCACTATTCCCATTAACTGAATGCAAGGTCAAGAAAACATACAGACCCTTCTCCTCCTGCGGTACTTACTTAAGCATATGAAAAAATATTCCATATTTAGAATTCCTTTTTGAAATGAAAAGTGCGATATGGCCCAGTCGCCTCTGAAGGTACAGTTGTGTACGTGCATCTGCACACTACAAGCTAGACCGTACTTCCATTTACAGCACTGTTAACACACTCGTTTAAGATATATGATATAAATACCGTCCTAAGCGAAACAATTTATTGTAGGTCTTTCGTCTTGCCTTCTTCTACACTACATGTTTCGGCCGCAAACGGCCATCATCAGGTGTACACACTCACGTAGCTGTTACACTGCACTTAGTTTAAACTTGAAAACACAGGTCTTCCCAATTGTTCCATTTGTCGTTGCTAACAGAATCTACTTCGCTGATATTTGTCTGATTCGTACATTATCTTTGTTACCTACATACGTCAATTTTGACTTTCATGAACTGGCACTTTTCAAAATCTTCAGTTCCAATTTTAAAAATTCCTTTACATTTTTTTTTTCCAAATTTTAAATTTTTAAAATTTAAAATTCTCAGGGCTACTCGCCCTATGTCTATAGTGCTGCAGCGGCTACTTCTTGTTTTCAGCACTGTACAGGTGTTATTCTGTGTAGGCTCCCTGTGTGCGTGCCGCTGCTTATCTTTACTACTACACTCATTTACGTCTCATGTCGGTGTTGCTTGCACCCTTGCATACAAACCCTGAGTCTCACTATCCACAAGCAAACAAGCATAAGTGTCGGTAGAGTCAATGTTAATATTACAAACACACTCCACATTCACAGTCGAACTACAGACCAATATTGAGACAACAGTAGGTAGTGATAAGTCAGAGAAGTACAAACCGTGTTTCACATTGAAGAAGCTTATACTTGACACTTTTACAGCTGGGCAACCTGACGGACTGCGCAGCTTTTGAATTGTTTTCCATGTATATTTATGTGTATAAGAACAAGCATTCTTTATATTTATCTACACCATTGTATTCTATGTCATCTTGCTCTAAAAATATATAACGGAGAAACTAGGAGTAATATGCAGGCTAAACTAAAGCTACTGCAGTTTCAAACATCACTCCGTGTTATACGGTTCTGGTAGAGAAGGTAGGTCAAGGTATTCTGTGTTGTAGCAACTGGATAATAATATTAACTTCTTACAACGAAAGGTGTATAACACAAACACTTTCACCACATGTTAAAATATAATGACATAATTTAATTATTGTTTTTCCGCCTTAATACAACAAATATCAAAATCTCACTCACATTTACTGTGTACAATGAGTTTATTGGTTGTAATGGTATGGCAGTGGGATTTTGGGAATAACTTATAAATTTTCACATCGGCATTGTGTTCGACATCACGTAATTTGCTCAAATATGAAGGGAAACAAACTTGCCTATAAAGTTACGGTTTTGACCCCCCAAAACCAAGTATAGTCCAAATCTGTTACTTAGTCTTGAACAGAAAAAGAACAAACAGAAACTAAGCAGATGGGTACAGGCATCCGTCAAGTGTTCATGTTTTACTCTTTGTTTAACTGCGAATGAGATAAGTTCCCATGCGCTACAAAATGATGTGAGAAGTTTGTTACAAATCATGCCTCACACCGTTGTCAACAGCGGGATTCTAACGCTATAGACGAAATTCACATCTCAGCTACTCAGTTATGACCATTTCATGGGAAGCTTCATTCCTTACATGTCCCATAATTTACGGGTCCGGGAACTGTGTCCGTTTTCTAAAAATAAGAATTTGTCCTTAAAGGAAATTTATAATTAACAGTTTCAGAATCCTAACTGCTACTGCGTTTACGATAGATAAGTTCATG